TTCTTTCTGCAAAGGGTAGTTGGAGTGAAATACCTCAGACAAACCAGGAGATCATCCATGAAGTAAAGTGTTCAACCCAACAACCCTATTTTGATTTAGATGCTAAGTTTAAAGATCTTTTCTGAGAGGTTTAAATTCAGATGTACCACTTTAATCTTTCTCCTGCTGTTGGTGCTCATGGGTGACAAATAGTCATTACAAAGCAAGATTAGGTCAGATGTCAGTGACCCAGGTTTTAATCCCCACTCTGCCATGGAAGCTTGCTGGATGACTTTGGGACAGTCACACACTCTCTCTCTCAACGTAACTTATCTCTTAGGGTGGTTGTGAGGATAAAATGGGAGAGGGGACAACATTATTGGAAGCTATTCTGGGTCCCCATCAAGGAGAAAAAAGGGTATAATTATCTAAAGAAAGGAAAGGAGGTTCTAAATGCGTATCTGGTTTCTAATGGATGTAAAATTTAGAAGAAATTTGAAATGTACAGGGATTCTGAATGGATGAATGGCCAGGCAGGAAGGGTGATTTACAATCACTGGTCAACCTGCCTGTGTTTTACAGCACATGGGTGATAATAGCATTGATTGTCACAACATTCCCTGAAACAACCTGGCATTTAATTTTGAAGGGTTCTCTGTAAGAAACCCCAATCTTCTCATCATCAGCATATTTTCCTATCTCTTCCACTCAATCTTATTTTCATCCTGCTCTACCTCCAAGGAGTTCAGAAAAGCATTCATGACTCTCACCTAGCCTGTTTTGCCTTCACAACACCTCTGTGAAGACTGGACCAAGGTCGCCTATGGAGCTTCGGGGTAGAGTGGGGTCTCCCAAGGCTCTTACACCACATTGGCTATGTGAAGCTTGTTTCCCCCCCACACACACACACGTTTTTTTTGTTTCTTTAGAACTCTCTGCCCCACTTGTCTCTCCAGAGGAGACCCAAAGCAGCGCACATCATTCTCCTCTTCTCCCTTTTATCCTCACAACAACCCTGTAAGGCGGCCTCGGCTGCGTGTGACAGGCCCGAAGTCACCCCACAGGGAGCTTCCAAGGCAGAGGGGTGGGGGGATTCCGACCTGGCTCTTCTTCCAGATCCGAGTCCAAGGCTGTCGCCGCTAGACAACGCTGCCTGGAAGGCTGCCTCCGGCGACGGTCCCTAGTTGTCCTTGGGCAGTGGCCGCCTTGCAGAGTGTGCCCGGCTCAACCGGTTTTCCGGGTTCCTTCGTTTGCGGCGGCCCCTGTGGCTTGTTTGTGGCGCCTGCTGCAGCCGCCTCCTCCTCCTCCTCCTGGCCGGCCGCGACGACCCCGCGCCCGCTTCCTTCTCCCCACGAGAGGGGTCGCTTCTCGCCTCCCAGCCGCCCTGCAATCACACGCCGCGGCTGCAGCGGGCTTAGTCAGGAGGGGAGAGCAAAGGTCACGCGGCGGCATTTCCAGCGTGCGGCGAAACTCACCGGCGGTGGCAAACTTTGCACAAAAGGAACTTGTCGAGGCGCTGCCTGGAAGCGGCGGCGGCGACGCACGGAAGGAGCGGCGGCTGCAGGAGGGACTGGCCGAGGAGCCCCGCGGGCGGCCGCGCATGTTAAGCCGCCCGCGGAGATTTTTTTTCCCCAGGCTGGGGATGCCGGCCGCCGCGTCCCAGCAGCATCCCCTGCCCTGAAGGTGCGTCTGGAAAGGGAGCTTCGCCAAGGGGGCTGTCATTCTTCCCTGGGACGCTTTGGCCATCTTGGTTGCTTTTTCAAGGTCCTGATCGTCCCGTCGTGAAAAATCCTCCCGGCGGCGAGGAGGCAGGCGCAAAAGGGCGCGCTAAGGTTTGTGCACGCGGGTGGGAGCAGCAGGTTGTTTTTACCAGGGGCCGAATAAAAATAATATTCACTTTTAAGAAACACGCACACACACACCTTGAGAAATGTTTCTTTAGGAGGCACGCAGCTGTCACATGTGACACAGAAATGAAGGGTTGCATTTCCTGGATCGGAGAGCTGGTGTAGAAGACGGACTGAACTGTGATTTGGAAAGCCCCTGTTAACCTCAGCTATTCAGCTGGTTTAGCATAGTGGTTAAGAAGCCCAGCTTTGAGGCTGCAGTCCCTGAGGCTGCTGGTTTAAGTCCCAGTCCTAAAGTTACTAACTGGTCTTAGGCAAATCTCTCTGAGTCTCCTGTCTCAGGATATGGGGATAACAATACTGGCCTACCTTATGTTGTAAGGAGTATTGGGATCATAGTTCTGGTTGGATCCTACGAACATGCTGCTTGCAAAAGTAGATTTCCCCTCCCACCACTCCCTGCGACTCCTGCAAGGGCATTGTTGGGGTTCAGGGGAGACAGAAAGCCCCAACAAAGAAGCTAATTACGGATGATTCCCCCTCTTGTCAGTGTTTATAGGATCAACCTCATTAAAGTGAAGCACTTTGAACCCAAAAAGTGCGGTATAGATATTAAGTATTACTACCATAGCATAAAGAAGTCCCCACCTGCCAGCAATTAAATATGGGGCTATAATATTGACCTACCTTACAGAGATGTTCTAAGCATTACTGAAGTAGTACATGTGAAACACTTAAACCCCCCCCCCCACAGATATGCTACATATTATGCTCTGTGTAATCTGCCTTGAGTCCCAGTGAGAAATAATGTGAATAATGAATGTAGAATTAGCATTTTGTTTAATTTTTTTCTTCCACACCAAGCATCAAAAACTCATCTGATGTCATGTCAAACAGAAGAATCAGAATCCTTACTTAAACCCTTGCAATCGTGTCAGAACTTCAGCAGTGGGTCTCAGTTCATGAAATGTCATGGCGTCAGAGCAGATGGTACTGTGTATCCCTGGCAAGGTGCAAATTGCATTTATTTAATTGCTATAGGTGAGCATTGGAACTTGTGGTTAAGCACCCCCATATGCATTTAAAGCGACATGTTAGTTCAAAGCATTAAGAGATTGGCTCCTGTTAAAAATTTCACTTCAGCCATGAATTTGTAGGTTGCTTTAAGCTAGCACTAGCTTCTCTCTTGCAGTCTGCTGATGTCAGTCACATGGGAAGAAGTCAGCCTGCAGCCTGCCTTACAGGGTAGTTGTAAGAATGTCTTTTAAAATGTTTTATATTCCGAGGTCTTCGTTAAAAACACCCAGGGCAGCTTGACAACAAAGTAAATAAGACACATCTCAGTGCAAAGAGAAAGAAGCCCAGTATAAAAGAGAAAAGAATTAAAGCAGCGAGCAGATAAAAGCAGAAGTGAGAAAACAAATATTAAAGCAGCAACCAGGACACTAACAAAAAGAACGGGGTGGGGTGGAATCAGCAATAAGCCTTAGGAAATAATAAAAATCCTTATTAAATATTAAAGTCCATATAGTTTTGGTATTAAAATATGGTACCATTCAGGGGGGAGAACTCAGAAATATTGGATGTACGTGTTACTTTCAGGCTGGAGACAGATTCCCCCCGCCTGCCCCCACAACTGAAAGCACTTGGAAAGGGGGATCACCTAATAAGCTCAAGGCACCATATATGGCCCTTCACTCCTCCATTTTATCCTCACAACCCTGTGAGGTAGGCTAGTTGAGAGAGGACTGGCCTCAGGTCACCCAGGGAGCTTCAGACCTGAGAAAGGATTTGAACTCGGGTCTCCCAAATGCTAGTCCAACATTCTAACAAGTGCACCATACTGGAACACGGCCTGTTTGTTGCTCACTCGTCCCAACAGGTGTTAGGATTATATTTACTTATTTGAATATTTATAGCCTGTTGGTCACTCCAGGGAGGCCCCACAGCAGCTTGCAGCATAATTCTCTCTTCCTTCATTTTATCCTCTCAACAGCCCTGGGAGGTAGGTCAGGCTGTGAGGGAGTGACTTGCCCAAGGTCACCCAGCAAACTTGTGTGGCAGGAGTGGGGATTTGAACCTGGGTCTCCCAGGCCCTACACTTTGATCCCTGCACCACACTGGTTTCGGTATCCTAAAAACCTGTCAGACTTGTTTAACCCAGAGGTAACATGAATGTGTGTAGACTCTGGCCAGTGAAGCCTCTCTGCGACCACTCTGATCAAAACTACTGTCTGTCGCCAGAGCCAGTTTGGTGTAGTGGTTAAGTGCGCGGACTCTAATCTGGGAGAACCGGGTTTGATTCCCCGCTCCTCCACTTGCACCTGGCTGGATGACCTTGGGCAAGCCATAACTCTGGCACAGCTGTTCTTGAAAACGAGCAGTTTCTGTCAAGAGCTCTCTCAGCCCCACCTACCTCACAGGGTGTCTGTTGTGGGGAGGGGAAGGGAAAGGAGTTTGTAAGCCATTCTGAGACTCCTCTGAGTAGTGGAGGGCGGGGTATAAATCCAACCTCCTCTCCTCCTCCTCCTCCTCCTCTTTAAAACATGCTTCTGTCCTGGCTTCCAAAGTTATCTGAGGGAAGACAAGGTAACAACATTCTTCTGTGGAACTTTGTGCAGGCCCCCGGTTCGTGTTCGAACTGAGCTCCCACCCATGCTGCCTGTGCCCTACAGCTGCCTTTCATAGGTAGGAGCCCAGTTTAAAGGAGACGCCGGGTGAGTGTGAAGTCCCGGGGGAAAGGGCTTTGGCCTCAGCCAGAATTCATTTCCACTCAGGCGTTAGACGGGGCTGTATTTGGAAAACATATTTGGCAAGGGCTGGGAGGCGGAGAAATTTACAGGCAGGGTCATAACACCCAGCTCTGAGCAAGGGGTCCTTGCAAGCCCCCCCTTATCAAAAGCCATTGTGTCCCGCCATGGAGTTTCAGTCTGCTCCCCTGCAGGCCAGGCGTGGTTGCTGCCTGCTGCGCAGCCCATTTCACCACAAGCCTTTTCTTCCTCCTGAGTACCGAAACTGTTTCTTCTCCTTTGCAGACCAAATCAGGAAGCTCTGCTGCTGTCGAAAGCTCGGGAGCGCCCATCTCACTAGCCGGAAAGCGGCGCGCCTGTGGCTTTATAAAAATAAAACCCAACTGGTAACGTCACCAGAAATGCAGAAAACTCTGGAGGGATAATGGAGCTTGGTGGAGAGAGCGTCTCAGAGCGGCAAAGGGACGAGTGCTTGGATAGACAGCAGGCATCCCGGGAGTGCCAGAGGACAGGTGTGCCAGAGGACACCTCCCAACCTCGCCTGCAGGCGGCTGTGCCGGGCAGCCAGTCCCCCAGCCCCAGTGTCCGGGCCGGGAGCTTGATTCTCCGCCGGGCACAGCTGTCCAACAGGAGCCTGAGCAGGGCCAGCAGACGTTCACATAACTGGGCGACAGGAACGGACACGGCCAGGCTCTCTGTGGGCGGAGGCAGCACGAGGAGGAAAGGACTGAAGGAGATCCTCCTGCAGAGCAGCGAGGCCAAGCCCGTGTGGCTGGCGGCTTTGTCGAAGGGAGAGGCCAATGCCAGCAGCGTCCCCGATGGGCGGCAAGGCCAGGATCCTCTTCTGGAAGCCAACTTGGAGGACTTGTCGTTAGCTCTAGACCCGCTGGAGCACGAGTGGATGCTGACCGTGGCCCAAGGGGATGCGGGGAGTATCCTCCGGTTGCTGGACCAGGATCCCAGCCTGCTCTCCAGCACAGATTTTGTGACCGGTTTCACCGTCCTCCACTGGTTGGCCAAGCACGGTCATCATGAGGACTTGATAGAAGTCATCACTTTTGCCGAGAAGCAGCATTACCCGGTAGACGTCAACGTATTCTCAGCTAGCGGCAGGCTGACTCCTCTCCACCTGGCTGCTCTTCAGGGACACGAGATGGTCATCAAGGTGCTGGTGGGGGCCTACGGGGCCAACACAAGCCTTCGGGACCACAATGGCCGCCAAGCATGGCAATACCTCCGAGCAGACGCTCCAAGAGAGTTGAAGGAGCTTTTGGGGGCTTGCGAGGAAGACTTGGCCCTGCAAGGAGCGTTCAACACCAACAACAACTGTGTGTCATCCAGACGCGGTAGGAGCAACGGGTTCAAAGGAGCCGGCGAGGGTGTTCAAGGGGAAGAGAACAGCCGCAGGCCCATCACCAGACTGACCTCTTTAAGGAACTTGTTCCGGCAAGCCATTGCATTCTTCCAAGACCGGTAGACATTTGCTCAGCAGCAGAGGCACTTGGGTCTGTTGACTGGGCAGATTTTGACAGAAGCCATCGTGAAAGGGTGGGGATGCTGCGGGAGGAAGCCTGGGAGGTAGGTGAGGACCCACAGAGGTTATCTGTAAGATGCTGGCCTCAGGCAACCTGCCCAGACTTGCAGTTCGGCCTTAGGTATGAGACGTCCAAGGTCTTGAAGAAAATGAGGGAGCGAGTGGTAGTACCAGATCTAGAGGGGCCATCCTGCACTCTGCTAAAGACCATCCATAGGAAAGACTTGTGGGTAGAAAATTTTAAAGACCAACTAACCTCTAAGTACTGAGCCAGGAAAAGAGAAATTCCGCAACCTGGGTAAGCAAATTTTACGAATGTGTATAGGTTTTCATTTTGCCTAATTTATTCTGGCTTTAGGTATGGCAAGGAGCAATGCTGAGCAGAAAACCCCCACGCCTAAGCCCCTGGGGATCTGGGGCAGGCACCCCTTCTGCTAAAAGGCTTCCCATAGGCATCCTCTACACGTATTGAAAAGTATCTTTGTAATCAGAAATTCAACAGATTTGCATGCCTAAAAGTGCGTGCGGATGCAAATTTTCAACTATCAGAGCATTCTCAAATAAAGAACAAAAAGCAGATTAACCCCGAGTATTGTGTGTGTTCCAGGATCCCATCTACTGTAGGTGGGTTTATAGAGCTGCTATCAAAGCGCTGTGACATTTCTGTTTTAAAAACAGGGACCACGCACACTCCAACACTGGAGAGGGGGAATTCACAGCTTAAATGAAAACGAGGCAGGAGATGGGTTCTAAAATGAAAATGTATTTGCTAGGAGTAAGAGGATAGCCCTTCGTAAATATTTTCCCCCTTAAACTGTAGATGAGAATGTTCCCATTCTGCAAGAAGAAGAGATTGGATTTATACCTTGCCCTTCACTCAAGAGTCTCAAGAGTGACTTACAAACTCCTTTCCCCTCCCCACAACAGACACCTTGTGAGGTAGGTGGGGCTGAGAGAGCTCTTTCCAGAAGTCCTTGAGAGAACAGCTCTGACAGAACTATGGCTTGCTCAAGGTCATCCAGCAGCTGCAAGTGGGAGTGGGGAATCAAACCCGGTTCTCCCAGATTAGAGTCCACGCACTTAACCACCACCAAACTGGCTCCTAGCAAGGCTGCTACGCTTTAAAACAGAATTTTAAAATAACAAGACATAAACATTCAACAAAAGAACAGTTTTCACAGGGTCAGGAGCAACGCTCCCTCTAAGTCTTGTGAGCAAAAATTCTACTTTGTGAGCTGCTGGCATTAAAGTTGTGAGCGAGCGATTTGGCCACTGCATAAATCAGTTTGCTCTGGAGCCCCATCCTTCCTGTGTCAAGACAAAAATGTGTGAGCCGGAGGCTAAAAAACTGCGAGCTAGCTCACACTAACTCACCTTAGAGGGAACACTGGTCAGGAGTTGTACCCTTGAAAAGTAACACTATGGTTACAAGCCAATAGGGGCCAGTGACACACCTACACTTATCATCCTAATGGCACTACAACAGCAGTATAAGCATTAAAGGGGTTAAAATTACTGCTTAAGAACTGTGAACACCCGCTGAATTCACCTGGATCACACACTGCAGAATTAGCAGTGCATACTTCATGTTTGTCACAGGAAAAAACCTCAGCATCATGCATGAAGTCTTCTTTAAATGTTCCAAGGGCTCTGATCTTGTGTTGGCTGCTGCCAGTTATATGGGGTAACCAGAACTCCCCCCAGACAAACTGGCAAATATTTTACGTGGCTGCTAAGACTTCTTGGAGGATTGCTAGAAAATTTGCAAAACAGTGGCTAGGTTTCTTAGTTGCAAGCTATGCCTGATGACTTAAAAGTGGTATGGACGTGCCAGTGAACTGCATCGCTTGAAGGGACAGGTGTATTCCACAAATGGGTTCATTCCAAGGCATGCCTTCCAGTCCCTTGCATTTCACTAGTTTGGGGCTGATTTTGTCACAATTTGAAAGGTATATGAGCAGCTGACTGGAATGTCTCTGGCAGAAGTTGCAGTATTTTGTTAAGGACACAGGGTCCATCCAGTTTAACTTTTGCAAGTGCTCCGTGCTGCCTCCTGCTCTTTGCTCCTTCACTTCGATGCTGGTCTTGCCTGCTCGAGGCAGTTAATCCCCTGGCATTTTAAACTATGCATCCATTGCAATTTCCACAGAAACCAGGAAACTATTTTATTGTACAACAGCACGATCTCTGCTGCTTACCCTACACAATAGCAGGGTACCAAATTATTGCTTTACTAGGAACTTCCCCAGTTCGGTTAGCTCTTTCTTTCATTTCCTGCCAGTCCCAAATGCCTAACTGGGGGGAAAAGCCAGTTTCTGAAAGAGAATTTAAAGATGCCAACTTACATCTAGCATTAGACAGACTGTACCATAAAGGTAGTTTTCACTACTACTTTTACTATACACTCACAAAAGTAATCCACCTTTAACTATGTTAAATGTCCCACAATGTTATTTTTGGGAGTTCTTAAGTGACTAAAATAAGATGTAGTATTTTCAGGTCCTCGGACTTGATTAGAAGGATCTGCACACCGCCGTTAACACCAAGAAGGCCACCAAGCTAGAATAGTGTGATGAACTGGAAATACCTGGAACTCTAGAGATGACTTCTTGAGTAGTGAGTGAAGATTCAGTGATCTTGCAGGTCTCCACTGTCTGGAAATGCCAAATTAAGGCCCCGGTCACATGGGCCAGAAAATGCGGGTGGGTGGGTGGGGGAAGCGTGGCTGTTTGCCCTGGAGCAAAATAACGCGCAGCTGCAAGATCAGACGTCCAGTCGAGGTCCCGTGGTTAGGGGGGAGGTGCCGATCACAGGACAATCCTGCGGCGCGGCAAAGAAGCGGCCTCTCTAGCAAAAGGCTCTGCGGGTTTAACCCCTTCCAGGGCTGCAGAGGAATGCAAACTGTGTCCTCCGTCCCTCCAGGAGGAGCTGCAGCCGGGCCACCCTCCCACCACACACCCCCTGCCGCCCGGTGCAGAGAGAGCAGGCCGAGCCAGGAGTGGGGGGGGGGTACGGAAAAGAGGAGGGGGCCGTGTTGTTTGTTTGTAAACGAAGTGTGCGCATGCGCCGTTGGGTGCTTGTGCGCATCCCGTGGAGACTTGAACAAAAAAACCTTTTCGCGACGGGACATGGGCGGGCGCCTGATGCCACAACCTACCACCAAAAACGCGATCAGACGCCCGCCCTTGCCCCGCAGTTTCCGGAAACTAGTACCTCAGAGGTACTAGTTTTTTAAGCCGCATCTTCGGCGGGAAGCCTTGGGAGCACTACGCTTTCCAGATGTTGCGGTGTGATCGCACCTAAAAAATCCGCCTATCTTCCGCCTCTGTAGCGTGGCTAATGCTCCGTGTGACCGCAGCCTAAGCTCTACAGACAGAGCCTTGCAAACACCGCCTCTCCTGCAACAAGGGGTGAAGTTTTGTTTTCCTGTCAGTTTGTATTTTACACCAATTTATGCAAGTCCCGTCTTTATCTGCTATTATTCTTCAATGTGATTCTCCCCAACCTGGGTGAAATGGATACAAAAAAAATTGGCTACGCTTTCCTCTTCTAACACAGTAAGTTAAGCATCGTTCCAACAAGTCTTGCCAAGAAAAAGAGCTTTTTGAGCCTCTTAAGAATTCCAGAGTGGTCATGCTTACTGAATTACATTTTTCCCCTAACAAAGCAAGCCCCTAGGACTCACTTCTTCATGGGTTCCGCTAAGCCATGCTCTCTCTTTTTGTCTCATTCCTTTCCATTTTCCTCTCCCCGGAGCCTGCTTGGGCCTTCTGTAGCCAGTTGAACAGCATTTCCAGTCCCTGAGAAATATGTTTCTCACGGAGGACTGTCCGCTGCTTGTTTCAAGCTATTCACTTACTAAGACACAGCAGGAAGTTTCCAGCCTCCCTCCAATAGGTGCCAATTTCACAGCCATTAGCCTTTTGTGCTGTTGCCAACTCCCCCGTATGCAGCAAGTGTAAACAGTAAATCCAACCATAAATTGCTAATTCGCGGGATTCTGTGCAACCTCATATTTATTAATGAACCTCTCTCAACCAGCAACAAGAATTCCTCCAACACAGAGGCACTGAGAACTAAAAAGACACTAATTGTACACAAAGCTTTCCATTATTCGGTTTTAATTCTTTTCAAAAAAAAAAACCCCTTGTGAAAATAAAGGTTTATAAAAGAAAATATGCACAAGGTGAGTCGGCTTTGAAAACGGGGCTGTGGTACGTTGGTAGCAAAGGGCCATTTGAGGTCTCGACGCAGGACAAGACGCGCCACAAGGGTTGGAGCGGCTTCTCTTTACAAGCCTAGCTTGGTCCTTCTCCAGTGCCTCCTTTTGGAGTTGTATCTAGAACAAAAAGGCAGACAATTAGTAAGCAAGGCACATGCAGTGCTGAACTGAGGGCAAGCGGCTGAGCAAGCCACCCTTCTCATCATTTTTGCACGAGACAAAGGCGGTGGGTTTCCCACACCCATCAGCTCTCTCTCCTCCCCCCACTTTATCAATGGGAGGGGCCCTACAGCTCCCTTCCACCAACTCTCTCCCTGGGAAGAAATATTTCTCTGTCAAAACAAGAGTTAATATAACTCAGCAGG